AGTCAATGAGTCGATGCAATCAGCTGGTTTTCCTTAGATAGAAAACTTTGAATCAATCTGACTGGATGATCTGGTTAAATTTTCTGTTACCATCAGTTATAAAACTAAGAAAATTAAATCTAAGGAAGTTATTATCCAGAATTCTAGAAAATGTTCCTTTAATTTGCATTACGTTTACTTTTGTACTTTAGTTTTTTTTTTTTTTTAAATGTTAGTTTTACGCTCCAGTAAAAAGCTGAATTTAATACTTTAACTTCTACAAAACTGTTTTTAAACTGTAGGATTTATACTGAAGTAATAAACAGACTTCTGTCCTTTTAAGTTAAGCCTAAATAAACCAATTGATCAATTGCATTTCAAAGATATTTGATAATAAGAAATTAATCTTCTTCATTCAGCAGCTGCAGCCAGTTTACAGCAGGTTCTCCAAAGAGTTGATGAACATGATCATTCCCACTCATTCATGTAGACGGTTGGAAGCGGCTCCCTTATAAAATCGGTGATAGGCGTGAGGTTGGGTCTCACCGTTTTCACACTGAGGTTCTCTGTGATGGAGCCACATTTCATGATAACCAGGTACTCCTTAGACAGGACGTGAGGGCTGAAGCGGACCGCCAGGGAGCCGTGGGCGGTCCCATCAAAGCTGATGTTAGGCTCCCACAGGCTGCCTGCAGGGATAGGATGGATTATTAGAAGCTTTAACTCTTTAAACTTCACTGAAGAGGCAGACGTTTAACTCACCTCCCTCAATGCAAAACTGGGTCATCTTCATTTTGCTCTGTCCGCAGTCTTAAAGAACAGACCACAAGTCATCCATTTATTCAAACAGTTTGGCAGGAAATGACCAAAAAAAAGGAAGGAATTCTGTGCCTGAGGCAGTGTGGATCTCCCCACTTCCTCCTGGACCGACTCACCTGGGACCCAGATGTCTCTGCTGACGTCGATGCTGCTGTGGCCCTGCTCTGGTTTGGGGATGTTGTAAACGGACACGGCGTACTGCTCACCAGGATTCAGCACCAGCGCAGCGGACGAGAACGACCACTGGAACCAATTGGAAACACGACGGGACAAGTTTTAGAGACTGAACCAGAAAACCCCCCCGAAGCTGCAGCTTTGATCACCTTCACTACGTCGGTTCAAATCAACCCTGAGATCATTGGAAAAATCCATTCCCTGGAAATCCCTTCATTATACTGGATTTACTTTCTAAAAGTGTCACTCAGGTGTTTTCTTCTTCATCAGGGATTATCTGGAATAGTTTCTCCTAACAGGCCAGACTCCCTTTATTCAACATTTTACTGTTTTCTTCAGTTGTCTGCAGCGTGTTTGTGTTAACTGGAAACCTTCACAGCTTTTAGTTAGAGAGAGAAAATCAGAACAACATGGAGCTGTTTATGATCATCTTTGTTCTCATCTTTGCAAAGATCAATAAAGTCAATAACCATCCATCCTTTATTTAACTGGTGCAGAGTTGAACACTTCTTTCCTTTATCACCATTTCATTGGTTTCATATAAACTCCAGAGATAAAGACGATGCACGAACATTTAACAATGTTTGCAGAGGTGGAAATGAAACTATCAACCAAACCAACTTAATTTCTTAGACTGTGTCTGGCTGTTAGCTACCTGCTAAACATCTGTTAGCTGCAAGCTAAACAGCTGTTAGCC